AAATTCTAGAGTGTAAGAATCAACAATATATGTGTGTACGTATACGCTAGTGTTAGCTCAGTGTTGTTACGAAGTTGCGAGAAACTCTCCACACGCCTATAAATATAACCAACGTGATGCGCCAAAAAACAACAACAAAAAACACAGTATCTATTATTGGTTTGCTATAGTTCGTGTGCTATAAACTTCGCAGGCTATAACCGTGATTGTTATAACGCTTCTTAATCGGAAATCTTAAGATATTTGACCAGGAACATTTATAAATTTTGAACATTACAAACCATTATAACTTCAGTGAATTCACATCGGACTTTAGTACTTTTACGAAAACATTACCTAACGTCATCGGTGGAAAAAAATTGGCGTGTGATCAGTGAAGACCACAGAACTATTAACTATTAAGTGAATGATACCTACATAAACTCGAAATTAACTCGCTTATCGTGAATCCTCGATAAGACATAAAGGAAGTTACAGACCAGAAAGAACACTCGGTATTGTTTGTAAGTTTGTAAAACTTTTGTATATAAATCATTGTTTGTAGTAACTATTTGTAATAACCGTTATTGTAGATTGTATTATTGTTTGTATATTAAAACATATTTGTATAAAACAAAGAAAACTGTGTGTATCAATCTTGTTGGCAAATATCATAAATTGGATACATATCGGCATTTATTTAACTACTAAATCCAAAGTACAATTCAACTCAGTTTCAGACCATTCGAAATTGTAATACATAACAATGTTTCTCAAATATTCATTCAGTGAGCAGAGAAAAGAATAAACTGTTTAAGAAATGAGACTTTAAAAATTTCTGTCAATCGGCTGCTAAGTTACAGAGGCATATCCAGACATATCAATTTTGAAATTATAAGATGCTTTTTAACCCTCTTGTTACAAAGATACCAAACACATAAATGTAGCCAACTTTTACAAGGGGTAAGTGAATTATAATTCTTCTAAAAGATTGTAAAACGGTTTTAATAATGAAATGGTATACTTATGCCATTAAACAACATTAAGGTTTGGTACATTCCCCACATTGATGATCAAAAGGTCAACATTATGAATTGATAAAAAAAACATGCCTCCCAAACAGTAATACTGCTGGATTATGAAGCATGAAGAAGTGGCTATAATATGGGTACATTGATTACGTAATCTTCAAATAAAAATCAATATCGTTATTTATTACATGAACTAAGATGACAGAGACCATCACGTGTTGTGTAATAAAATGGCATAAAGTTAATTACACATTGTCAGATAAAACTTTTCAAATTACGGTAATCGTAGTTTCAAATTTTTAACCGCAGGTAAGTAACTTAACTCAGATCATGTAGAGGTTGGGAACACAATACGTTAGTACCAATGAGATACGATTGTTTGTTTGTTATGGATTTCGCGCAAAGCTACACGAGGACTATCTGCACTAGCCGTCCCTAATTTAGCAGTGTAAGACTAGAGGGAAGGCAGCTAGTCATCACCACCCACCGCCAACGTTTGGGCTATTCTTTTACCAACGAATAGTGGGATTGACCGTCACATTGTAACACCCCACGGCTGATTGTTTCTTGTTTTTAATTATGCACAAAGCTACACAAGGGCTATCTGTGCTCTGCCCACCACGGGTATCGAAACCCGGTTTCTAGCGTTGTAAGTCCGCAGACATACCGCTGTACCACTGGGGGGCCTCACGGCTGAAAGGGCAAGCATGTTTGGTGGGACGTGGATTCGAACCCGCGACCCGCAAATTGCGAGTCGAGCGCCCTATCCACCTGGCCATGCCGGGCCCTAATGAGATACACCTGGAAGGACAACACAAGTCAAATGGCTTGGTATTTATTATATAAAATCACATATTTGTATTTATAAAACTATTTTCTATGATAGCTTGCACCTGTTTCGAATTTTTACTGTCATATAATATGAGATTTCAAGTTCAAAATAACGCAGAAAAATATTTTAGTCTTACTTCCATCAATATCACAATAATGTTGTATTGTTAACTACCATCTTCTACAAACTTATAAAATTTTTTCTTAAACTAAGAACAAACTCTAAAGCTCCAAATTTTTGTTCACTACCGATGCACCATTTTACTTAGTTAAATGCTCATTCCTCTTTCTGTCTAAGACTTAACGAATTTTAATATAAAAATATTTTTTTTTTTTGCAAACATTAAGTATGATGTAGGGATGGCAATGCCAAAAAGTACAAAAACAAGGTGGGGTTGAATACACAAAAACCATACAAAAATCACTACATAAGTAACCAAATCTTTCCTAGAATAACTTTTATCTACAACTTAATGTTGAATTACTGTCAGTTGCATGGATCTAGGTTTGAATGAAATCATTTCAGTTGAATAGCGCTATACAGTTTTACAGTGACTGATAACCATAAGCTTGTTTTGTTTGTTTGAATCAGTTGAATAGCACTATACAGTTTTACAGTGACTGATAACCATAAGCTTGTTTTGTTTGTTGGAATTTATGCACAAAACTACACAATGGGCTATCTGTGCTATGCTTACCACGGGTATCGAAACCCGGTTTTTAGCGTTGTATGTCCGTAGACATGCCACTGGGGGGGGGGGCATAAGCTTGTAAGATTGACTCGGTAATTACTGGCTACCTATGTAGGGATTTTGTATGGTTTTGTGTATTCATCCATATCTTGTTTCTGTACTTTTGGGCATTGACATCCCTACATCATACTTAATTTTTGCCCCCAAAAATTATTATTTGTTCACCTATTTTTTTATACAGTTTATTTGAAGTAGGTTGATAAGTGAACATTTGTTTTATTTCTATAATTCAATGGTAATATATATTGTTAATGTCATATCAGTTTCTCTAATTTAGGGTTATATTGGGAGCCGTTGAAGCTGGAATGGTTCCTCCTGGACGGACAAGTACCGCAGAGCGCTGGACTGACGTTAAGGGGATATTTACAGAACCCACGCCTCTCAACTTCACCCCAACTCACTGCATGTGCATACAATCAACTCCACCACATACTAGGGTCATGTTGATTAATAAGGAGGGAATCATATAGATACCAAGCAATGAAGTATGCTACCATGCATATACACATAGCTGCCAGGCTCGGCCTCACTGAAAATTTGAAGAAAAGTAGACCGCTATATAATGTATTGTTTTGATAATTAAGAAACTGGTGTTTTTAAACTCAGACATCAATAACATGTACACAGATCTGTCAGTTGTATAAATACCTGATATCCTTGATACCTTGAATATTAATTTAAATGATTCTAATTTTTTGGCTAGTGTGGGAGAAGGAAAAAGAAAGATGAACACTTTGGCTCTTTAACTAATTCCCAGCTTCTACTTTAGCAACACTTTTCAATGATATTAGGAGTCTCACAAGCTGTGATACACTGGATAATGGCAATTAGGTGCTCAGATAAAGCTATAACTCAACTTTAGCAGCCATTTGTAAACATCATAGAATAATAGATTGAAGACGACAACCAGTTTTTTCTCGGCCCATCCCTATATACTGAACACTACCGTGCTTAGTGATATGTTCGACATAATGTCTGGCTGTGATAATAAGATGAAAGAGTTTAGATGGATTCTTCCATAGGTGCATCCATTGACTGTTTATTTTTTTTATCTGTTCCTGATACAATTTTAAAACCTATAATGCATACTTTATCAAACAAAGCTACCGATTTTCATTAAATTTACATCTTGGAGAAATGTGTCTTACAGAAATTTAAACTAGTTCCTTCAGCAACGTGAGTTATCCACTATCCTATTGTGAAATAACTTATCTCAGAGAATTCGTTGCATATATTATGAATCGCAACAGGTTTTTTTTTATTTAGTGCAATTTCTGGCTATATGTATCCTAGTAAATACTGAACTGGTTCATGTGTAATATGAAGACCAGTCCTTACGATGACGATTTTAATAGCTAACCAGTTCCATAAACTGTAATTTTCCTTCCCCCCCCCCCAAACAAATTAGTAATGATGACTAAAAGTAGCACTGTAAAAATAATTTCACTTTTGTCATTAAACGAAAACTGGACCAAAGAATTGATATTACCAAATCTTCGCTATATTTCACAATCCATGAGGTATACTAATAGGATAACATTATGGAAAGAAACTGTAAAGTAGTATAAAGTGAGAATTTCTGAATATCGTCAACTTTTTGGACTAATACTTGTAAAGAAGAGTTAACTAATAATAACAATTCATAACGATGTAATGTGGTTAGATATGGCAATGCTGTAATAATATATATATATTGACATCAAAGAACAATAAACATTGTACGTTCATAAGTTAGATAAGAAAAATAGATTAAAAAATAATTTTAACACATTAAAATAATGACAAAAACATTGATACATTCATTGTATTGAAGTTACAGAAATAAGTTATAGGTTTGAATGCAACTTCCCACCATTGTATTCAAAAGGGATAAGACTTTTTCTCTGTCGTATATATTATCAAATAGAATTGTTTTTGTCATTTATCTCTTCAGTCAGAAGCTATATATATATATAATGTATATACATGTATCATTAATAAATGCTATATATACGTACGATTCACCTTGACTGCAGTATGATGTGACCGCTTCTGTGTTCTATAAGCAGAGTTTTGACGCTGTAAATCTGACTTTATCGTGTGTCAATGCTTTCTGTCAGAAGTCGAACATGCAGGTGTGAATACTACTTAATATAAGAATAAATTATTAGGGACGCCGACATGTCTTTTTTTTTTTAACTGTGCGTCAGTAGATTTTCTTTATTTTGTAATATATATTTTGTATAGAGTAACTGATGTATTATATAACATTGAGTGGGATTTGAATATATTTACATACTGACAACTGAATTCACGGAAATGAAGTTCCTGAAAAGGAAAACTAAACGCAAGATGAATTTTAATTTATATATTCACTGATTAAAGTTATCGCTATCGTTTGAAAAATGTTAAAATCAACAAACACAATTCCGGAAGTAAAGTATTAGGAGCTTTCCCTTAAGGGCAATTACCTAACACTAACCTCAAAACTGGGTCAACCATTTAAAGTAATGTCGATGAAAACGCTGTTACAGGTATGACACAATATGGTTAAAATTACCCTCCAATAAAGGCTTTCTCTGAACACGCCTCTTAACTGCAGGCCCAAACAACCGTATTTGACGGAAGGAGGAAGCAAATCGAAAGGAGGAGCTTAACAATCCTTGGCGATCTGGGAGTATTAAAAGCAAAGCCACCTTATTCAGGAAATGTCTTCTATCCAAAGCTTGCCTAGAAATAGCTACAGTAATCTTGGAACACATATTCACTTTTGTTTTTGTTGTCGTTTTTTAATTTTCGAATAGTGAAGTCGGTGAAGCGTGATATCGCATTAACAAGACGATTGTGATTTATTAGTGCTTTCTTCAGGATTAACAAGCCCCAAATAGGTAAGTTAGTTACTTTTACCTTCTCGTTTAAATGGTTACTCTGAAACTTATAATTTCATGACATCATTTTTCAGAATCTTGCCTTTAATATACATTAATGTATGTATATTACCTAAACCACAGGTAGCCTAATGTTCCAATATTAATCTGATTCCTGACTCTTGTCTCGTGCAGTTCTTCGACCATGAAACTTTTCAGCTACGCACTCTTGATTGGTATTCTTCTGGCCTTCGCTGTTCAAGATTCTGAGGCTCACGTAAAGAAACTGTTGAAACTTGGGTTAGTAGGAGCTTTGTTAGCCCCAAAGGTGTTGCCACTTCCAATTCCCATCCCCATCCCCATCGCTATCACTTCTTATAAGGAATACACGCCGTAAGAAAATCTTCGTTTAATATTTTAGTAGTGTAGTTTGTTTGCAATAGTACTTTTTAATACGAAATTGGATAAAAATGCTTTGTTTTCATAATGAGTTAGGCAGGTATATTAAATTGTAAAATAACATATTAAGGGTGCTTGAGCATTATATGCTGTAAATAACAAATTTATAAAATTAAAGTAAATATCGGGACAATCTATATAAGTTTCACTTTTCCATATTCTTGAACAAATATTATATGATTTTCAGATAAAGTATTTGGTTGTTAAAATTAAATGTCATAAAAGATGTCTAAAATGTTACATGACACAGATAATTTTCATGCATATAGTCATTTATGTTAGAATGAGAACAATACTCTTAAAAAGTCTTTCAATAGTATTTAATTAATAACTACATTTTGTTTTAATGTCATTATTCACACGAAATTTCAATAAAATTTTAAATAAAAATTTATCCTGAGACTAGAAATTTATATTGTTGTTAAATATAACAATTCAATTCCATGCTTTTAAAAATACAAAATATACAATGCTTGTCTGCAGTTTTAGCGTTAACACATAAATGAAAACTCATATATATATACATACATATATATATATACATACATATATATATATATAGATACCATTATGTCAATTCTACAGGTATTTTTTTTGTATATA